ACGGATTTCATCAAAGATTAGTTGTAAATCTTCAACCTGACTTAGCACGGTTTTGGAATCAACCATTTTGAAGTCAAGGAATCGGCCAACCACAAATTTCTTTGCGCCGGCATCCTCACTTCGGTATTTATGATCCAAAGCTTCCCACAGCGCTTTCGCTGTGCCAATCTTGCGATATACATCGTATAACGCATCACACAATCCATTTAGGATGTAGTTTCGACATAGGAAGTCCGAATCCTTCCAATAGCCAACTGCCATCACGGATTGGGCATCCTGTTCCCTTAGTTCGGGAACCTTCTCGGTCAAAAATCTCGCCAAGCCGAGAGTTGCTAGGTAGAACAACATCTTTTGTTGCCACCTTTTGAAATTCGATCCAATACCGGTGAATTTCTCCGGTCTTTCGGCCGAACCACTCGGTACCGTAGGTACCCGAGTCATGGGAATATATCCCTCGGTGCTCCCACCATCTTGTGAACCAACGTTCACTGGTGTAGCCTGGGAATTAGCAACATTATTGCCATTCCCACCACTGTTGTTCTCAACAACATTCTCCTCCCCGAGAGCTGGCAAAACTGGATTCTCCATTTCTTCTAGGAAATTAGAGATAAACAACCAACGGGAAACGGAAATAAGGTTTTAAGATTGTTGGGTAATATGGTTGTAAAATCCCAAAATAATAATAATCCTACGGAAAGATTAATATTATATGGGAAAACAGAAAATTGGGAAGGAAAAGGTTGAGTGTTTGGGTATAGGTTTAGCACGAGTTCGAACACAAGGTTCTTTTCCTTAAAACCTTATTTGCTACCTCCCACAAGTGCTAGGAGCGTTGTAGCCTAGGTTTCCCAGGATAAAACGTGCTACGATTCCTTGTTTAAGCACCTAAACAAGGAACCCGGCAAACAAAGCAAAGCTGGAACACTGGTTGGCTAAAAGAAGAAAGTAGAGGCAGAGTTTTGAGATGAAAAGCTACTGGAATTCCTTTTGTTTCTCACTTTTTTTTAAAATTCTACTGCTCTACCTCTCTTTATATAGGGCTGTTGGAAGGGATAGCATTCAACATGGCTTTTAATTGGTATTAAACCAATTGTATAACACATGTAACGGTCACCCACTAAGTAGGATTAAACTCAGATTTAAAATTGGAATTAAAATAGTATTAATTCCGTAACAGATGAGTTTAATCTGTACAACAGGCTGAACTTTCGGGTTTCAGACCGTTGGGGTGCAGGTTCACACGAGAGCACACGGACCAGCAACACGAGAGTACATCTCTCGTGTGCACTGTGGTGCAACCCGAGAGTGCACCACTCTCGTGGTCACAGAATGCACGAGAATTGTGCTCTCGGTGCACCACAGCCTCTCTTGCACCTCTGTAGCACGAGAGTAGGTCACAGATGCACGAGAGTTGTGCTCTCGGTGCACCATATCCTCTCTTGCTCCTCTGTAGCACGAGAGTAGGTGCTCTCGGTTCGGTTCCGGCCGAACCAAGTGACTATATCAGTTGGAAAATGATACCGAAGTTAGGCATAACTTAGCCTGCAAGGCCAGCCCATTTCCGGACGACATTCGTGCCCGCAGGTGCCGGCGCACGCGAGCTCGGGCTTGATTTCAAGCCTTTTTGATGTCCTCTAGTTGGATTTTGATTTGCACCCACCCCCCCCCCCCCCCCCCGCGCGAGAGAGCCTCTATGCTATACAATTCTACAAGCTTGAAAAGAGCTCATGTATATAAGGGGGGCAAATCTTGTTTCCAAACCAATGTGGGACAAAGTCCTACATTTTTCCTTCATTTCCCAACTTAAATGGGTCTACTTTGAGAATCAATATCTCATTCACCCATTATCCGTTTTGAGCGTACAATATATCAATCTCTTCGTCTTACTACGAAGAATCCGAATCCACTTTGACCCGACCCAAATCGGAAGTGGACCCCACTGATAATTGTACCACAAAATAGCCACTTAATATGCCATTTTATTCTATTTTAAGCTAATTTTTCCAACAGCATCAACGGCCACAGTGATGGCGCAGATAGATAGAGGTATGTGCGTCCGTATTTGATCTGTTATACGCTTTTCGTATGGCTGTGCATATATTATGATGAGTCTGTGCGTTGGGAAACCTTAGTGTGCAAGTAAGTGCAGTACAAAGCGTATCTGTCTAATGAGCACATGCGGAAGGCGTTTAATACAAATATATTTACTAAGCCTTTTTTTTTGTGTTTTTGTTTTTAATCGGCGTGTTGGTTTTGCTTGCGGTGTTGATGGGTTACTAGGGTGTTGTGCGGATCGGACGGTGATGGCGTGGTGGTGGTGTTTTTTTTTTTTTTTTTTTTTTTTTCCACCCAGATAGTAATATGTGAGGGGTATATGCGATATATCATGTCGGAGTGTGCAATCGTCCAATGTTTGGTTTCAATAATGTGTTGTTAAAAAGGTTATTTTTGTTTGGATTCGTTTTGTTAGCATTATTCGAATTAGAGCATATGGTAGGTGCAACGCAGTTACTGAGCATGTGCAACATACGACTAAGCAGTAATTAACTAGCGACCTTGGATTTGGGACAGACTATTTAGAGCTTAAAGTTTAAGAAAGAAAGTAGATGCATGCATATCAACAGTTGTAGCGTAACATAGTTACATGACTTGCTATTAGCCGGGAGAATTTATATTTAAAAAAACAAATTAATAACCCAGACACAAATTATTTATTTTGATGATATAAAGATGACATGTGGTTTACTATGTATACGGTAACGAAACATATGTTACAGGTGTGTGCAATGTAGAGGCCACCGGTGAAAACGAATCAGAAAAGGATTGCAAAATGGATATTAGCCCTGGAGGTATGAAATATTGGTATATGGAATGCGACCGTAGCCTGAAACCATATGAATGCCAAATGTTTAATACAATGGATGATGGAATCCAATTCTATACGAAGTATGCTGCAACAACTGGATTTGATGTGCGTCGAAGTTCGGATAAAAAGAACAATTTAGGTATTGTTCTGAAAAAGGATGTAGTGTGTTCGCGGCAAGGGTTTAAGGAGACAAGGGGCAAAGAAACATTGGGTAAAGAAGGGAGTTTGGAAAACAAACTACGTCGGACCACTAATAGAGTTGGTTGCGGTGCTAAGATTGTATTAAAGATAGATAGCGACGGGAGATATAAGGTTCACAAATTTGAAGAAAGACACACACACTGTCTATGTGAGGAAAGCTACAAACCATTTATGAAAGTCAATCGAAAATTGGAGATTGCACACCAACAATTAATTACAAACTGCGGAAAAGCGAACGTCGGTGCAAGCAAAAGTTTCGACATATATGCCGAGATGGTAGGTGGTCTGGAGAACGTGGGTGCGACGCAATAGGACTTTAAGAATTACAGGAGAGAGCTATTAGCGTACATGAAATGGGGAGATGTGCAAATGGTAATTTCAAACTATCTTGAACAGAAAACAGATTGTGCTGATATGTACTTCGAATATGAGGTGAACGCAAATGATCAGTTAGCTCGTGTCTTCTGGGCGGTTGGTATGGCAAGAAAAAACTACGGTGCGTTTGGCGACGTGGTATCCTTTGATGCAACGTACAAAACAAATAGGTATGAGAGAGTTAAGTTAAATAGATGGGTGCGTAAATTTAAACTTGAGTCAAAGGGTGGGGATATCTTTCGGTGACCACGTATACAGGTAATAAAGAGTATAATGTGCATGATCCGTGGGTCTGAGCGTGTGTGTAAGTTAGCTCTTTAGTGGCATGGTGAGGGTGTCTTTGCCTAACTACTTATGCTGTAAATAAAGAGCAGTATGTGCAAGGGTTGTTGGTCTGTGCGTGTGTGTGTATCATGTGCAAGCTTTTCATTAGGTTTGTGCAAGTGTAAGTACGGTATATAGTGGCCTCTAAACACCAAGGCTGGTCGTTATTCATTTGTAAATTTTGCATTCGACTGAGACATGCTTGAAAAGTTTGCGTATGAATTATAACGCCAAATATTTGACGGGCGACTAATTGCTATATATTGTATTCATACCGCCAAATATTGGACGGGCGACTAATTGCTATATATTGGATCCAGGTACAACCTTGTGTTTGTCCCATTCACAGGAGTAGACAACCACAAACGATGTGTGACATTTGCAGCGACCCTGCTTGATAAGGAGGACATGGAGTCGTACAGCTGGGCACTAAAACACTTCAGGAACGCAATGGGGACTGCACCACCTATAATAATAACCGAGAGCAAATTACACTTTTGGTCCTATGACTATAAGGAGCGTGTTAATTTCAGTACTTGACTTTAGAAACTAACAATTTAGTCTTGTAACTATGCAATTTCTAACACATTTGGTCCTTCCGACCAAATCACCGGCGAAATTTGGCCGGAAAAATCAAACCCATTTTAAATTAAATATAAGTGGGGCAAAACGGTCATTTTAATCCGACACCAATAAATTATTGCTCCAAATACTGTTTTGGAATTGGGAATTTGTTGAATTTCTGGGAGTTTCGGAGTGGGGAATCTGTGAGGTGTTATTTAATTTAATCTGTGTATTTATTTATTTATTTATTTTTTCTGCGACGATTTATTATCGTTTTGAATGGAGAAAAGTGATTGAGGGGGTTTCCCTCCAAAGAGGTCACAACCGGAGGTGACTTCGACAGTGGCCGCGGCGCCGGTACTTGCGTCAGCGGATGTTCTGACAAAGAAGCTTGCGAGGCAGCTGGATTTCACGGGTTTTGGCGACAACGCAGCACTAATTTATTGGTGTTGGACTGAAATGACCGATTTTGGTTTTTCCGGTCAAATGGGTTTGGTTTTTCCGGTCAAATTTTTGCAGTGATTTGGCCGGAAGGACCAAATGTGTTAGAAATTACATAGTTACAGGACTAAATTGTTTGTTTCTAAAGTCAAGTACTGAAATTAACATGCCCCTTATAGTCATAGGACCAAAAGTGTAATTTGCTCTAATAACCGATCAAGACCCATCTATGAAGATTGCAATCGCAGATGTGTTTGCAGGTAGTCGCCACCGTTACTATATGTGGCACATAATGACTAAGGTTAGCGAGAAAGTGGGAGCTGAGACGTCAAAGAATAATGAGTTCCGACGGGCATTGAATAGTGTTATGTGGAACGAGAAATCAACGAGAACAGAATTCGAGATTGGGTGGAAAACAGTAATTGGAAAATACGGCGTACATGAAAACCGATGGCTAACCCGTATGTACGAGGAGCGTGCGTCATGGGAACCCGCATTTTTCGATGATGTGTTCATGGGTGGGCTACTACGTAACACTTCCCGTTCAGAGGCGGAGAATAGGATTTTCCAGGGTAACATGAACAAACACTTATGCCTGGTAGAATTTTTCAGCCGTTTTGAGCGTGCGGTAAGAAAACAACGAAAAAACCACCTAGAACTAAGCGCAAGTTGCACCAGACATACCCCAGTTTTTGAGACCCTCCTACGCATTAAGCGATTAGCAGCAGCAGTGTACACACTGACTATTTTTTATGAGGTCCAAAATGAAATAAGTGCCGGGTGTTTTAAATGTCGAGTTCGAGCATTCACCGAGGCAGAAGGGTTGAAGACATATGTGGTTGAGGATGAAAACGAACAACGATACACATTTATAGTGCAAGATGGGAGCAACATAGAATGCACATGCAGAATGTACGCAAGAATTAGACTCCTTTGTAGCCATGTTTTTGTCGTACTCAAAGATGAACATATCGATGACATCCCCCCACAACATATAACACCCCGATGGGCACGAGAAGCAGTTAAGCACTCCCCCACTGATAGGGACGAAGATAAACAGAATGGTACCAATAATTTGGCGCACGGCAACAATGAAGAAGGATAACTAATTAATATATTTCATAGATGTTTGGGCAAGGCCAAAGCAAGACCCGAAAAAATGAAGGAGATGAGACTGTGCATTGAAGAGTTTGAAGCGACATTCGGGGAGGACGTAGAACAAGAGGTGAATGAAAATGGGAAGCGTGCAATAATGGAGTCGTATTGCGATGTCGTAGCCCCAGAGATGATAGAAGTGCAACCACCTCCCGTAGCAAAAACCAAATGGTCTGGCAAACGAATGAAATCAGCAAGGGAGGTAGCAATGATGGAGCATTCTAAGAAAAAACGCACATGCAAAACATGTGGACTGGCAGATGGGCATAATAGCCGAAGCTGCCCACGGAAGTAGTTATCCCACTAGTCCTTTAATAATTATTAACCAGAAGTACAAACATTTTAATAATGTGTGTTTTTTGAGATTCTAAGGTGGTTAAATGTTATGGACAGCTGATGTGCAAATATCCTGGCGAGTGTGTGCATTGCGCGTGTAGATTAATGAATTCTTTTTTTTTTTTTTTTTCAGAAACCCAGTTTGTGCATGATTTTGTGATACCATTTGCATTGATATTAACATGGACTTCGGTGGAAAAAGAATGGTTTTTAAAACAGGAATTGAATAAAGTTTAATTAAAAATTAAAAGAATACACTCTCAGAATTCGGATAAGTAAAGAAATGGATCATTTGAATAAATAAGGAGAATACGTAGATGTTAAATTTCAAATATTGAACGTATTTGAAAATATGTTAACAGAGAGTTTATAAATTTTGTGAGTGTTTGGACGCGAGTGCGAGTAACCGTTATAGTTGTAGCATGAGCACCAATACGGACATGCACTATCATGGTTTAAAAAAGCAATATAAAAAATGAAACTAATAAACTCCGTGAATTTGCTAAATAAAGTAAATGGATCGTTCGAATTGATTAGGAAAATACGGAGTTGTTAAATTCTAAATGTAGAACGAATTCAGAAATATTTAACTAGAGAGTATATAAACTTTGTTAGTGTTTGATCGCGTGTGCAAGCGAATGTTATAGTCGGTGCATGAGCATTCATATAGCATGTAATGCACAATAGTACCAAATGCAATATTAAAAATGAAATGAATAATGTATTTGAAAACGGTAACTTATGGAAATGGACCCTTTGAATTGATAAGGAAAATACGTAGTTGTTAAATTCTAAATGTTTTTAAATTCCTGAGTGTGTTTTGGCTAGTGTGTGCAAGTGAATGTTATATTCAGAGCGAACGTGGGGGTTGCCCATGACCACGACCCTAGTTACAAAGTTAGCATAAGGGACGCTTAGTTAAATGCGTATCCCAGTAGGACAAGATGGGCGCAGGAAGAAATTAGAAATTCTAGGGAGGAAATGTACTGTGCAGCGTTGAATATAGGTCCGTGCAGACATGTGTGCGGTTTTAGGGTTTTTGTTTTATGTCGATAGGTTGTGTGACTTGTTATAGAGTGGTAGATGCACTACTAATATAGACAAAAATGCTCACAATTAGCTGCACAGTGCTTGTGCATGAACAGTAGAATGTACCGACACCATAAGCAACGGAATACCATACTAACCGAAATGGAAAACTAATTATTGGAACACGTACAAATAATGTTAGCGCACGCGACAAAATATCCAACTGTTTGACAACATCCAAAACTTAAATGTACGAAAAAAATGTTGATGCGGTAAACAACTACCAGTTACACGTCTTTCATTCACCACCTTCCATTCACTGAGCACCACCAGCACTGTTGACAATCGCTTGGCGACATGTGTTTCTATGAAACATTAGAATTTCATAGACATACCGCACACGCAGGGAGAGCAATGCACGTCCGTCTCCCCTACTAAGGCTGCAATCCCAGGAAGCAATCGACTGGCCTACGTACGTCTCCATATGACGCATGGCAAAAACCCCACAATCCAACTTGTTTTTTGTATCGCGCCATGACATTCGGACTCTCCTTGGGATTAGTTGCAACACCTTTACGTAAAGATCTGGATAACTAGCATCCTCAAAAAAGACCGAGAGCACATCTCTCTATTTAAAAAAAAAAAATGGTCATAACGCCAAATGAATACAATGATGACTAGTATATAACGATGCGCCATTAGGTAAAAAGTAAAACACCAACAAAGTAGAAGGACAAATAAATACCAACACAGAAGGGGTATCCCCGTACTTGTCAAGTGATACCCCCCGCCCCCCCACAGATGAGTTATCGATGAAGTCAAATTTCAGCCGTCGAACATCAACAACAACGACGTAATAATGCGACTTATCTATTATCGGAAAGATCAACTGCCAAAAAAAGGGTAGCGTATACACCAAAATTAAAAAACGATTTCACTAATATGACCACAAGACAAATGGGCACATATAGAGAATTCAAATGTGCAAAATATGAATGGATTAGAGATTGCACTAACCATGTCAATATCAGACCATAATTCATATGGTGACACCTGCAAATCGGCCTCCAACGCAGCAGAAAACCAACCCAACCGATGAGACCATGCGACCGTAATTTGAACCACCGAGTACAATTGCACGACCAAAAAATATTAGTATCGAAATGAAACGGTTTCTACGGGAAAAAGACACGACCTAAAAGGGGATGATGGGCTAACCGTTGTGGTGGGAGATGCAAATAACCGCGTTGGTGCACCAACCGGCTTGGTCCTCTCACGGGCATTCAAAATGCACGACCAAGCACTCAACACACCCACCAGCACTTTGTTCCTTTCCAATAATGACACAAGGTCGAACCGACGAGCGGAACGGCCACAGTAGTTAAATAATTCTGCTGTCCTGTAACATTAGAAGCATTAAATTCAAATTCATAATACGTCGGAACCCCGAAAGACCAAATGTAATAAAGTGAAAATTCTTACAGGTCAACATTTGAAGTATGAGCAACTCAATCATAAACAGCTTGAGGATCAATATTATTGGCAGCATGCATATTGACAGCGCGAGTACGCGTGAGGAGCGCATAAGAATTGAAATCGATGGTGCGCAAAGCACCGACATCCTGCACTACAGGAAGTGAAGCCTTGATTGGTGCTACACGTATCGACAGACTGGATACCACGCCCTTACACGGACCGAGCGTAGGGTTTTGCTGCGACATGAAAACAAACGAGGGATGAAAAAATATATACAAAACAACATAAACAGTAGTGGGGAAAAAGCAACCAGGGAGACAAAACGATACCTCAGTAGGAGTTGAAAAGACATGCTGAAAGTTCTTACCACCTACACCCCAACCACGTGCAGTCACGACCCCGTCCGTAACGGCAACCCCAACGGACAGTGATTTTGGGGCAGGAGAGACTTGGTGTTCCAACGCACGCACCTATTACCAACATGGATGTGGAACAGAGAGGATTGGGGATGATGGAAGAACCAGGGGCCGAAAAAAGGTATAATGATAACAAAAAGGCATCCACACTAATACTTACAGGTACACAAGGTGCATACCTACAACCTCCGGTTGGAACATTTGAAGTATCACCCACATATTCGCGCACAATTGCATCCACCTCCTCCCAACATTGGGTAGGGAGTTCTTGCGTCAACCTAAGACTGAACGAAGGAACATCATCACACCCCTAATGAACGTAGAAATAACCATAAAATGAGCAGTGCGTGCGTAATAAGTAGAAAGTATGTGTGAAAGACCAAAAATTACTGTCCATTATCAGTTAGTAAGGTAGGACCAACCGTTATACAACACATCTGCACCACATAGAAAGTACAGTACCATGCGTGACAACTAACCTACCCCAGTTAACAAACAACAAAAAAAAGGCCACTAGTAGTTGTAGCCACAAAATAAGTGTCTACCATCCACATACATCCTACACACGCTTAACTTTCCTGCGCTTGTACACAATCATACATACAGCAACTTGGGAATCAACCACTGGACCCCCCGATGACACTTGCACAGACACCCGATCATGCTGGGGTGGCACACCTCCGACATCATCACTAATAGGCCCAACCTGCTTCTCAACAACACATGGCCCCATATGTGGAACTTCTGGGCGCGCGTTCTGATCCTGTACCGCCCTAACCGCTTCATCAACAACCTGAAAGCTCTCTGGGTTACTCAAAATCTCATCTGCACTATTGGTCGTGGCACCGCCCGTATTTGCAAGGCCAACTGGCTCTGTAGATGCATGGCACTCCAACAAAGAAATGATCCTCCGCCGAATAATACACGCAAAACGCTATCTGTGCGGGTCGAGCATTGAGGGTGAATCCCAATGATTTGCACAACATCATCCAACGCAGCGTCTAATGCGCCCATCTTCAAAACAAAAAATTCACCAGGCGCTTGCACCATTTCAACGGATTCAAGTATTATAAAATGGCCAAAAAAATTAAAAACAAAGAAAATACAACCGGAATTGAAACGCATCCAGCATGTTAAATACAACGGCCTTTATTTAAAAAAAAAAAACAAAGGAAAAAAAGGCTCGTAAACCAGAGCACATACTGCACTAAAAAGTAAAAGTCTTAACATGTACTACAAAAAACCCGCACGAACCAGCGTATAGAAACGCACACAGTAAGAAGCATGTAACCGATTAACATATAAAACAAGGGGGGGAAAATACACAAGCACTAAAAGACCACAAGATACTTGATTAATTAGTTCGCACAGACCTAGGGGCGTACTGCACCCACCTGCGCCTGCCCCATTTCAACTGAGTCAATTATTATAAAATGGGCCAAAAAAAAAAAGGAAAAAAAAAACAAATAAACACCGAAGTTGAAACGCATCCGGCATTTTAAATAGAACGGGTTTTATCCTAAAAAAAAATAGGAAAAAGGACTCAAATAAACACCCAATATGAAACGCATCCGGCATTTTAAAAACAACCGCCTTTATCCCAAAAAAAAAAAGAACATAAACAAAAGGACCCATAAATCAGAGCACAGACTTGAGTAAAAAGAAAAATACATAACATGGGCTATCAATAAAC